CTTACTTTATTGTAAGAGATTTGTATTCTTGGTGTTGGGATTACACCAAGTGGTAGAAATCCTAACGGTTTGTGAAATCAAACGTTAGGTGGAAGAAATCCTGAGTTTTGTGAAATGAAAACTTCGGTGGTAAGATAAGAGGCTTGTGAAATCAAGTTCTCGAGTTGTATTCAGATTGTCAAACTCCATTAAGTTTGACGGGTTAGTGAAGGCCTGGGCACGATTGCTTCGGGGACTGGATGTAGGCATTTAGGCCGAACCAGTATACATCGTGTGTTGCTCCTTCTCTTCTTCTTTGTCTTCTTGTGGTTGGCATAATCCTGCGAATTTTTTGTTTAATCTTCCAAAAGTTTTTATTTTTGAAGAACACCTCTATTCACCCCCCCTTTAGAGGTGCGTAAGTTGTTCAACAAATGTATGTCATGATCCTAAACATGCGTCTAGGATATACATGATGTGATGAATGCATTGATTGGATAATGAAGTTATGTTCAACGCATACGAATATATTTGATTGTATATGACAACAACTTGTTCAACATGGCGGACCTGGGTTCCAAAGTGGCTGATAATCGATTAACCACTATTGATAATCGATTATCATGCTGTGCAGTTTCTGTTCCCAAGTTCCGCAGGCCATGATAGTTGATTGTCACTTCATGACAATCGATTGTCAAAGTATTTCGTTCAGGACACCCAAGTTCTGAGAGACCTGATAATCGATTATAGCTATGTGATAATCGATTATCTGTAAAACCAGCCCAGACCTGAGAATCCGCAGGGCCTGATAGTCGATTATCACATATGTGATAATCGATTGTCACGCTCTGCTAATTCTAGCGAGAAGTTCAGCGCAACCTGATAATGATTGTCCAATTCCGTAAATCGATTATCAAGGCTCGCAGCTCCACGTTTAGCCAGTTTGAATATAGTCTTTACGTTGGAAGTTATCGAGATGAACGTTACTGTTCCTACTTTGAATAAGCTATGAAGTTATGAATTATCGAACGTTCATTTTAACAAGATTGTACATGTAGTCGAAGAGTCTAGATAACGAATAACCATGATAACGCGGACACACGTATGTTTAGCCGGGTAATCCTATGAATATAATGATATGATTGAACTACGAATTCTAAAGTTAGAGGGCAACGTACTCACCTCTAACGAAGAGGTTGACGGAACGACGAAATGCGATGAACGAATGACATTAATGAACGGACGAACGAACGGACGACAACGTTGAACGTCGAACGACGAACGACAACACGCGTAGACCTTCTCTTCTTTCCTCTTCCTCTCCTTCACGCCGGAAACCTCCCTTGACTGCTTGCTGGCTGGCCGGGAAAACCAAGGGGAAGAGGAAGAGGGAGTGAGGGAGTTATGGATGGTTGGGGGGTTACAATGCCTAAGGAAATGTAAGGGAAATGGGGAGGGGAGGTGTTTATATTAAAAGGAGAGTAATGAGAATTGATGGAGGAGTTAATGTGGGCAAATGAATGTGAGTGTGTGTCGTGTGGGTTAAATGGGGAGGTTACCTCCCTTAAATTCGTTCCGTTGTGTAAAATCTGACCTGAACGGTACACGCTTTTCCCCCCGAACGGGTCCAAATTGAAATCCGTTTGCGTTTCCAGACTCAGACAGTCAAGATGAACATTATGACATGATCAAATAATTTTTCTAAGGATTTTATTTTTCCCAACCCTGGTCCGAGTTAGTAATTAATTAATTAAATTAACCAATTCTATTAGACCAGGTTGCATGGCGTTACATATAGTTCTCATCATATCGAGATGCTAGTTCTGAACACTTCAGTCTAGTAATCAGAGAAAATTCCATTAGAGAGTATCTAACAGGCACTCCATTTACTACAAACTACATTTCATGACCTCCTTTACCTCCCATATTGGCCTCCCTAACCATCAGCTGCCATAACATGGCTGGAGGGGGAACAAGTTGGACATCTAGGAAAGCACCAAATGGGGAATTTCTTCTGAACTCTTCTATGGTTTTCAAATGATCGGTTAACCTTTCCTTCATCAGTTTTTGAAAGTCTAGCAATAACGACTTCACAGTCAGCTTCATATTTGGAAATTCCTTCACATTTATCTTCGTCTTGATCTCTTGAACCTATATAAGGGCATATAATGTGAAAAATGTTCATACAGAATAACGTCAAAATAAGTAGGACTAATGTCGACAAAGGTCGAACTTTTTGTTAGTCGAGTCAGCATGTGTTAGTCGACCATCCTAATCATTCATTGAGTTTGTTTAGTGATTGATTTGGAGATAGAATAATTAGTTTATTATCAAATTTCTGACCTGGAGATTTCCAAGAGTGGACTTTGGGGTTCCGTTGTGCTGTGCCGCTGTCTTTTATGCATGATACCCATCGCTTTCACTCTTGGAGTACGGTACATAAACATTCTTCTTCCTCATTGTAGAAATCAAACTGTTCTTGATACCTGGGACTTTGGGTGGAGCGGGTTTCGTTCAACTTTTGGAGATGTCGAAGAGGTGGGAGAGAGAACGAAAACATAAAGGTCGCACGATGAAGGAAGAGATGTTTTGGGAGGGTTTTTGTGTAAACTCTTCCGACGTCGTTTCACCTATTCTTGATTTTTTTATTTAAACATGAAACGGCGTGTACGATCCGTTAAATGACCTTCTTTTTTGTTTTTTAAGGAGCGCGTCACATTTACATGCTTGGACATTTCCGTCAATTCACCTTTACCGGGTAGTCCACCAAATACGAATCGTTTACAGGGCATTTTGATAAAAACTTCCAATAATATGGTTGCAATAATAATAATAATAATAATAATAATAATAATAATAATAATAATAATAATAATAATAATAATAATAATAATAATAATAATAATAATAATAGGATCTGATCTGATTGGATCTGATTTGATCTGATTGGGTTTGATCTGATTGGATTTGATTTGTTCTGATTTGTTCTGATAATAGCGTTAGCGTTTTGGATAAAAATTTAATAGTGTAGATTAGTTTTGAAAATGCTAATATTAAAGGCTACCATTGAATAGTCTTTTCAAAATGCTAACACTGACGCCAAATAAAGCCTAAGCCTCTTAAATCTTGTTTTCTTCATCTGGTATAATTGAATTGAATTTGATTTTATTAAGAGGTCTAATCTGCATGTTTTGGTCTAATTTGATTCAAGAATAAGTAATAAATATTACTCCGTAATAATTAGTTGAATAGAATTATTCCAAGCTTTAATTTCTAAACGGCCAAGTCAACTTAAAATGCACTTTGAGGTATATTTTTTGTTTTATTAATTGTCAAATCAAACTTATTAATTGTCCGCTCATTATTAACTAAGTTCGCTACGCCTATTTAACAATGGAAAAATGTATAACTTCGGTAAGTAGTGACGTCAACTACTCCCTCCGTCCCTTAAAAAACTTTCCATTTTGATTTTTAAAGGATTTAAGAAGAGTATATTTTGGTGTTGACTTTCCAAAAATACCTTTTGATGTGATTGATAAAGTAAGATGAGATGGATAGATTAATAGAGAAAAAGTGTGATGTGATAATTACGGTAAAAATTAATAGAGGAAAAATGACTTTTTAATAGAAAATGAAAAGTATCTTTTGGGACGATGAAAAAGGAAAGGGGAAGTGTTTTGTAGGACGGAGGGATTATTAAATTTGAGAGTATATATCAACATAAAATCGTCCATTTCTTGGAATTCTCAAATGAATTTTTCCTATTCAAAACAAATATTTGCATAATTATTTAAGATTGAAATGTTACTATTCAAATCTTGTAATAACTTTTGTTAATTCACATACTCTTTCCGTCCCGCCATATTTGTCTATTTTTGACTTTTTTTCTGTCAAAATTGGTAAACTTTAATCCCAAATTTAATAAAAATGATACTCCCCCCGTCCCGGAAAACATGGGAGTTTTGGTTTTGGAGCCGGATTTAAAAGAAGTGTATTTTGATATTGAATTTCCAAAAATGTCCTTTGATGTGATGGGGAAAAGTATGATTTGATGTATAGATTATTAGTAAAAAGGTATGATGTGATAGGTAGGGCATGAAAAAGTAAGGGATAAAAGTGACTTTTTAATAGAAATGATAAGTGTTTTTTGGGACGGATGAAAAAAAGAAAAGAGAAAGGTTTTCTGGGACGGAGGAAGTATTAGATATTGATACAAAAAGAATTTCATTAGATTTATTATATAAAGTATTTTCAAAATATTATTTTATTAAATTAATATACGATATATATTATTTAATTATAGGTCAAAGGTTGAAAATAGTTGAGTGAAAAAAGCAAAAAATAGACAAATACGCTGAGACGGATGTAGCATTTTCATTGATCATTTAATAAAATTGTGCTATATTTAATGTATATTTTTGTTAGTTCATATTTTGTAGAGTTTTTTTAAATATGTACAGTTTATTTCTTATTTATATTCTAATTTGCAAATAAAGTAAGTTTAAAGTAATTACCCTGCGTCAAAAAGTAGTTTAGTTGAATGAAAGTTTTGAAAATGTAAAACTGCTCTGAGAACGTGGTAACTTTAATAAATAAATAAATGTTGAACTTCAATTTATTTAGTATATACTCCGTGTTTGTACACACAAAGATATACTCCCTCCGTCCCAAAAAGATTTACACGTTTTGACTAAAGTTGAAATTAAGTAAGGGACAATTTTGTGTTGACTTTCCAAAAATAACCTTGATGTGATGGGTAAAAGTAGGATGTGATGTGTAGATTATTAGGAAAAAGGTATGATGTGATAGGTAGGGTTTGAAAAAGTAAGGGGTAAAAGTGGTTTTTTAAGTAGAAATAGTAGGAGATTGTGGGACGCAATTTTTTTGAAAGACGTAAATCTTTTTGGGACGGACGGATGGAGTGTATATAAAATAAGTCTTACGTCGTACTGAATTATTCATTCATTCATTCATTCAATCTCCAGACACAATCAAGCTTAGCTTAATAATTAGCTTGTGAAACTAATACATAGTATTATTATTTTTGGTTCATTGATTAAAAAGAATTCCATAAACTAGATTAATTGGGAAAATGTTTGGGGGTGTTTGTAGGCATTCTGCCACATCCTTGGTGCCGGATACCGCAGCAGCATACATATTCTACTCGCTATCCCTATTACCAGACGGAGTTAACACTACACTCTACTCAGTTCTTGCAATATTATTTCTGGCGATTGGCCACGCATCCGCCTTGGCACTTGGTATTTTCATCCGGAGACGCGCCAAGTCGACATCTCATCCATTAGACCCTCATATAAGGACACCCACAAAAATTTACTTCATATGGTATGTATGTATATCATATTCTACCTATATATCTCCTTCCATCTCTTCACATTGTCAAATTAGAGGTCAGTTCACACACAGAATCATCACAAACTTACTATTTGTAGTTTAAATTCTCTTTTTAGATTATTTAATTTTTTTTTATTGAATTGTAAATTTTGTGACGATTGTGTTTGTGAACCAAGCATTTCCCCCTTTTTTAAAAATATTTATGGATTATTGTTGAAACTCTCTTTGTCTCAAACCAAAAGACACATTTTAACTTCTTGATCAAAGTGCGTGTGATACACTTTGAGTATCTATATTATAATCAAATAAATTGCTACTAATCCCTGATCAGGGGAGGGGTGGGGATTAAGAGAGTAATTAAGAACCGTCGTTTTTACAAACGATACGCCGTAGGTGCCCGAATGAATTGCTGCACAAATATTGTGAAAATGAAAGGGAATAAAAATAAGGAACTTCTATTTTAGTACTTTCTCTATGTTTTACTTCTATTTAGGGTGATTTCTTAAAATTAAAGTATGGTTGTTAGAATAAGCCCCCTCATATCGGCGTTTTTAGAGTGGGGGTGGGGGAGGGTTTGGAGAGTTAGAAATAGGAATAATCAATTTTACAAACAAAACAAAGTGGGTACCTAAATTGAAAAAAAAGGATGGACATCATCCTCAAGAGCTCATCCAGACGGCCGGACGGTCACTGGGAGGGGGAGGTACCTCAATTGGAGTATTGTATGAATGTTGTCATTATATATGTACACACACACATATATATATATACCTGCTGCTGCTCTACTGCCTCTACACATGCAGGATATATGGCTTTTGTGGGAGGTATGACAATTGCAGTCCTAATGGGGTTGAAATTGGCGAAGCATAACGGCAGATCATTCATGGAGGCAGCATTTGTTGCTTGCTTTATTCACTTGGCCAGTGTTCTCATTCTACTCCTTGTCTTGGCATTTTTAAGCTGTCAACACAACCCCGCGACACATTACGCGCGTAATAACAAGTTGCTTCTAACAAGGCTATCCGAGATTATTGAGAGTTCGAATCCAACGTCGTTAAGCAAATAAATATCAAGAGGCCAAGAAATCCAAAATTCAAATGTGTTGTTATTGTTGTTGTTACTTGTTGAAGAGTATCACACATCGAAAAAAGTGTGAAGAAAATAATGGGTATATAAGGTCTTGAGTTGAACTAAGTAATCGATTGGATTCAATCTTTTAGTGTGGTTCTAACCAAGTGTCTTGTAGCCCAGTCCACTTATCCTTACCTTATCCTAAATGTTATCATTACTACTATTGTGAGAAAAATAATTATTGTTATCAGTATTATTACTCAATATGTTTTCTACTAGAGCTTTGTCTTTTCCTAATCAAAATTGATAAATTTCGAAGGCCAAATAGCGCCGGTACCCCTCATGGTTTGCAAAACAAGCACCAATACCCCCTCTGTTTTCAAAACTCATTTTTAAAGTTCCTGTGGTTTCAAAATGCTGCACCCGTGCCCCCTCTGATCATTTTCCGACCATTTTTCCGGCGAGGAGGGGGGTATTGGTGCATGTTTTTTAAACCATAGGGGGTATCAGTGCTGATTTTTATTTCCATTTTTTTTCCATTTTTTCCTTTTTTATTTCATTTATTAATAAAGATTTTTTTATAATGTTTCTTAAAATTTAAAGTTACTTTTGTTAGAAAAAATTAAGATATAATGCATATGTACGTCTCAAATTAACAATTTTTGTTTTTTCTGAAAAAAAGTAAATTTTTTTTGAGACTTCAAGAAATGAGGAATAAAATAAGAAACAAAATAATACAAAAATAAAAATGAATATCCTTTTTGGACATGTTAATTCTAAGGACTTTTTTAGGCGTGTCTAATTTTTTTGTATAAGACTTCTTTTGCATATTTTAATTTTTTTCATTTCGTTTTTCCATATTGGTGCCAATTTTCCAAACCACAGCGGGCATGGAAGCTATTTGGCCAAATTTCGAATACTAATTAAATAGAATTCATATTAGATGTTGATATAAAAATAATATTATTACATACATTTTACATAACATTTTCAAAATATTATTTTATCTCATCAATATATTTTAGAATAAAGTTATGGTTGAGTTGATCATTATGCATGGTAACCACCAAACCCTTCCCAATTAAGTAACTAAAACCGTAACAAAAACCATAATTTACCCTGCCTCTCCGCGCCTCATTGCGACATGGCCAATCGCAGGTTGACTCGCTAGACTAGTCAATGTGTCACCCCAAAACTAGACCTGGCCCACTGGGAGAATCACTTGGACATGCACATATATTGGCCCGATTACATAAACAATAATAACATCTCTAGCCCTATATACTCATCACAAACCTCATAATTTCTCTTATGGGCTAGCCCTGATCAAGAAATTACAAACTAAAATCTAATCTGTAACTGTCTGTTCAACCACGACCTCGTTTGGCATCAACGTTAATGTATTAAAAATATTATCTAACGGTAGTATTTAGCGTTAATTAGTACTTTCAAAACTAATCTAAATCATTACAATTTTATCCAAAATGCTAACGCTACTTGAAAATGTTATTCCCAAACAACTCTTACAAATACATCACATTGGAGCCTCGTATATGTTGAACCATCATCACAGCATAGCCATCATGTACGGTGGGATCCGTTACAACTGTGACTTTCTTTACAAAATCTTTAACTTAAGCTCTTGTGGTTGTTATTTATTGTCGGACGACGCCATCACAAACTTTTGCGTTTAATTTCGTCACAGAATCTTTATTAGAGCATATGCAATCGGCTTTATAACCTTACTACACCCCTCCCCTAGGCGTTATAACCACAATATAAAAGGAGTCCCCATGGCTATAGCGCTCCGCCCCTCCCTTCTCCAACCTATCATCTTCTTCCTTTAATTTTTTTATTTAAGGGTCTTTATGCACTACACTGTTTTAAAGGTCATAGAGCCCCAGATGAGGTAGCTGACACATGGCGAATTACGCTCCTCTCGGGACTTCATGACTACCCATGGTCTTTGTGTCAATTGAAATGGCACGGGCCTTATTCGTCACAAATTTCCGTCACAAAAATGTTTATGGCAAAGTTGTTGGCCTAGCTTTTGTAAGAATGATACATTTTTTTTGTATATTTTCCTTAATACTCATTAATTAATTACATTATCAATTAAGTCCTAAACTGTATTTAATTTGAGAAAGAAAAACAATGCCGTCCTATTCACGTAATGTGCTATCTTGTTTAGTCCTTCACCCGCGGCGGTAAATTTCAGTCTTAGGGTGTGTCTGGTATAAGGAATTGGTGGAATTGGAATTGAATTAGAATTGAAATTCTATGGGATTCAATTCCATAGAATTGAATTCTGTCAATTTCAATTTATTTTTTGCACTATCAATTCTAAATCCACATAATTTTTGTACTACCAAACGGGACCTTATGAATGTTCGAAAATTTCATATCATACGGCATAGAACATTATGCCCATGTCTATGCCCATGACCGAATTGACATATCATACGGCATAAAAGGAGTCCCCATGACCTTATCAATTCCAATTTCATAGTTTGAATTCCATGTACCAAACGGGACCTTATGAATGTTCTAAAATTTCAAACAAATAAACTTGCCACACCGAATTGGCTTTTTTTATTTAAAATGATCAAGGAAAGTCAGATTGCTCACAATAATCCCCTAAAAATTAGTGTAAATAGATATAACCAAATTGTCTAAAGAGCTTGATCTTGAGGAAGAAGCTAAAATCGTGTTTTGCATGAGTGACTCATCATCATAAGTTCTCCATTCAATGAAACATATACTCCAATCTATGAATTTAGAACTTTTTTTTTGGAAAATCGGGATGACGAGCAGAGCATAAAACACGGGGATCACGGCTGTCTTTGCTTTTAAAAAAACACACCCTGTACAGAATGACTTAATCATACAGCTCGGGAATTAAAGCCAAGACGAAAAAGAGGAAATACACTAGCTCGAAACACTCCAGGTAAGAGCTGAACATAAAGCCAATGACCATAATGAAAAATCTAATTCCTCCTTTGTCGGACTGTTGGCATTTACAATATTAGGCGATGTCATGAAATCAAAAGAAAACTTTTACTTCAGAGGACTCGTCTAAACCAAGCAAGTTCATTAGTAGAAGAGTTAACCTGGGGATGGGAAGAGTTTGTCCTATAGAGCAGATTAGGAGGATATCCTGGCATCATAGAAGCAGATGGAAAATTCCCTGCTCCATAAGTACCATGAGCACAGTTTGGAACCATCTGGGTTACTATAGGTGTAGAAGTAGGATAAACACTTGGAGTGGCAAAATGTGGAGCTCTAAAATGTAGCTGGTTGTAATGATAATAATCAGGGTAGACCATTTGAGTAGCAAAAGTTGTGGCTATGTCAGCCTCCCTCGTATAGCCAGAAGATATCCAGTTACGAGTGCCAGATGATGCATAGATAGGATAAGAAACAGGAGTAGGTAGATATGGGATTCTATCAGTCTCATGATAACACAATTCCCCATAAGCACTTGTATGTCTTGTCTCGTTCGGGTGGGTAGGTAGTGTGTGTCCTGCTCCATTTAAAACGTGCGGAGTTCGTCCTAGTCCATCCCAAGATAAGACTCCTTGGTGTTCGATGTGTTCCCGCCTTGACATATCATACGGCATAGAACATTGACTTTTCATCTTACCGTATCCATGTGGCTTCCCAAAAAGAGTAGATGGAAGAGATGACCCATCACTTCTTTTCCTCTTTCCCGAGGTGGTTTGATTACGGCTACGCTGTGATGATTGATCCCTACCCTTATTTGGTTGTTTAGTCTGTTTTCGACCACTTGAATCTTTGCGATCTATTTTAGTAGCATTCAACGGCATTTCAGTTTTTGCCATATCTGCATTGAAATTCTTACTGCTAGGCTGTGTTGATTGATCCCAACCTTCACCTTGTTGAGTCGATTTTAGAACACTTGTATCTTTGTCTTCAATGTCTTGTATTCTAGTAGTACTCAATGGCACTTCATCTTTTGCCACATTCGCATTGCAATTGTTCTTACTAGGCTGTGCTGACTGATCCCAACCTTCACCTTGTTGAGTCGATTTTAGAACACTTGTATCTTTGTCTTCAATGTCTTGTATTCTAGTAGTACTCAATGGCACTTCATCTTTTGCCACATTCGCATTGCAATTGTTCTTACTAGGCTGTGCTGACTGATCCATGCTCTCACCTGGTCGCTGAGCCGATTTTAGACCACTTGAATGTTTGTAGTCTATTCTAGTTTCATTCAACGGCATTTCAGTTTTTACCATATCTGCATTGAAATTCTTACTACTCGGCTGTGCTGATTGATCCCAACCCCCGCCCTGTTGAGTGGATTTTAGACCACTTGCATCTTTGTCTTCAATGTCTTGTATTCCAGTAGTACTCAATGGCACTTCACTTTTTGCCACATTCGCATTGAAATTCTTACTACTAGGCTGTGCTGACTGATCCCTGCCCTCACCTGGTTGTTGAGTCGATTTTAGACCGCTTGAATCTTTGTCATCTATTCTAGTTTCATTCAACGGCATTTCAGTTTTTGCCTCACCCGCATTGAAATTCTTACTACAAGGCTGTTTTGACAAATTCCTATGATCACCTGGTTGAGTTGATTTTTGAAAATCTGTATCTTTGTCCTCTATTCTAGGGGGCGGCCAAACTGTTATTAGCCCATCTGCATTGAAATTCATAGGAACTTTGCATACTGATATGGCCCCATCTTTGCCGAACAAAAATTCTCGTAATGTATATCCTTCCATCCGGCCTCCCAAAAATTCAGAAATGTGATTAATTGATAGGTCAATGCAATTGTAAATTGTTTTCATTTCTCCCACTCCTACAGCCCTTGAAACATTTTGATCCCCATCATGGAAATCCTCAACCTGTGATGACCATTAACTAGGATTATAAACACAGTGCTTCTATTAGAGTCGAAGGAAGTGAATAAGCCAAGTAAACATTACACGAATGCAGGCAGCTTTACGACCCCGTGTTTTAAATATCCAATTTCCATCATAAGTGCTGGCACACAGACCTTGGGACCAAAGCTTCTTAACTGATGATAACTGCAAAGAGCAAAAGAATGTGGAATCATTGAGTATTGGTGAAAAAACCCAGCAGTGGAAAGATAGGGTTAAATAAATAGGAAAAACATCTTTAGTAACAACGAAAAAACAACCAGTTACCAGTGAATTTATGCATTATGTATAAGAAGAGAGGAAACAGGGAAAAGAACCTTTAGTAACAACGTAAAAAACAGCTCTGCCACCCCTTCTGTATTCTTCTGTCCATAATTTTTAAACTTACTTATAGATTTTTCCACAGCTCCGGCATCATAGCCATCTGCAATATGGCAAATTAAATATAAGTGGTTGTCTGTAATCTGTATATGTGTGTGTGTAGCACCACGCCGCTCTAGAACAAAAAGTAGTGTGAAATAAAGAAATTCAGGCTCTTATGATGAATCATGGTTACAGATCTTCCACAAACGTCCTAAAAAAATTACATGGAGCATCACAGCCATATTGGTAACACTACAAAGAAGATACTATTAAGTGTTACTCCATCCATCCTTAAAGTTTCTTCCCATTTGACTTTTCAACGCAACAATTTGACCATTAATATCTCTATTTGAACATAGATATATATCCGGGGGGTAGGGGTGGGTGCAGGGGGGCGCTGGGGTGGGGGGTTTAGGGGGTAGGAACCATCGATTGAGTTGTTCTCATATTATGACAGTATGACTTGTGGTCAAAAGAAGGGGCCGAATGTATTCTTTATATAATTTGTGGTCAAAGTTTAAAAGGTTTCACCAAGAAAGACAAAATGGGAAGAATTTTTTTGGACGGATTGAGTACTAAATACTCTGTAGATCACTTGGAATTACCTTTTAATATGGCAGAAAAAGGTGGCAGTATCCGAGGATTACGAGTCTGCAAAAATTCAGTTACCCAAGAGCATAGTAGTCGGTTAATTAATAGTCACGAACACAATAGTAATTTATATTGTTACCTGAGTTGATGACAAAAATATGTGAGGAAGTTACAACTTAAATGATTATTCAATTTAGCAAAACCAAAATGAGCCAATTTATTATGGAGTAATATTATCCTTGAAAAGCAAACTTCTTCATGCAAGTACATAAAAAGCTCAAGCCTTCCAAAATAAATTGGAAAAAATAGAGTTCAACATATGATAATGTGAAAACAAATGGAGCGATGAAACAATCTCATGGAGGATACTGCGCCAGCTCTTGAGATTTTCCAACAAAATATAAACTCAAAATGGCATTGTAAGAAGACTTGAAATACTGCAGGATTTTAAGAAATCATTTGGAGTGGTAAAAATGAACACAGTAAATTCAACATCTCTATGTGAAATTGTACTTCACTGTGGCCCTTGGGTAGAATAAAATGCTTGTTTTCCATTAGGTAGCATAGTTTCTCATGACTAACATTTAAGCTTTTCATGGTTTGATTCGAGCAGAACACCTTAGAATGAGAAATACAGCTATTTATACTGATGACTCAACAATTTGAACTGAAGCCGCACCTGCAAGTGAAATGCCACTAGAAGTATTATACTTAATGAGTTCAAGGTTCTGTCCCTGGCACTGTTAATATTTTGTGCTTTGGCCCATGCTTTCATCTGCAAACACAACTTACAACTATCATCACATGCTACGGCAGAAAATCCGAATTCGGAAAAGGTAAGAACAATGTGGAACATACAGTCAAAAATTAAATTTTTCAAATATATTCATACAAAGAGGCACATCTTGGCTCATTGTTATTTTCAAACGAAGAAATGGTTCTTTGGTTGGATTATACGATGTCATTTGAAAACACACAATCAAAATTTATTAATCAAACTTATAGGAACATCTTAAACGAGCAAATGGTGCTTTGACACATTTCCCTTAGGATTAAGAAATTATGGGACAAGAAGTATTCATGTCTAATTATTAGTGCATTAAAATGGTTCTATTGAAAAAGGATCTGAAAGATAGTGATATTGAGCATGAAAATGCATTTTACCAAAAAACATAGTTTTCGGAACCTTTCATCAATGAGAGAAATAAAGTAGAGAGTCTTGGATTTCAAAATTCCATCCATGTTTCCAACTGATATATCACACTCAATCCCAGTTCCACTGTCAACAACTTTTAGAACAGGCACCTTGGCGGTGGTAATAGGGTTGACACCATAAACATGTCCACTACCTGAAACATATACAGAGTATTAGAAAGGTTAGTATGTTGTGACGATTCACAACATTGATGGCATAAGCTAAACCAACCTAAGCACATTGCATAAAATATATTATATATATTACTAAGCTCTAAAAATCATTACATGCATGAAGAAAATTGACACTACATCCCATCTTTATTGGTCACGAGTCACAACAAACTCTGAGTAGTATTCTGTATTCAATAACGAAGTTTTATAATTGCATTAGCTTCATGCATGCAAAAGCGCATGTATAGAGTCAAATCTCATGAGCGTTTTGAAATTCTGACTTGAAGTAGCAAAGGGACAACTTTTCAATGACATAGAATCCAAGTATTAATATTTTATCTTACTCATTGACAAATTATGTTGCACAGATACATGTACAAACTAATACTGGGTATAAATACAGTTGGGGTACCTGTACTCGGTATGAATACCGTGTGTGGAAATTGTGACAATGGACTATGAATACGTGAATACATTAACTTGAAATATATAATTTTGCAAAATTAAAACTAAAATTCCATTTGCTAAACTACAATTTACAATAGCTTCAGCATAAAACATGCATAATTGTTGAACAAACAATTTTAAAAAAAAAAGTAAAAACAGGAGACAATGCTAAAGATGGGGGAGATAGTTTTGTGTTCACTAGAGCTTATTTGTACAAAGGTGAGGGTGCACGAGTGAGAGTGAATGAAAGAACGGGGTAGGATATGAGAAGGAGAAAACCTCTAATACTGTGATGTTTTGACTATAAACCTGATACGTTATTGTTATTATTATTATTATTAGTATCATTATTATTATTTAATTACTATAATTACTGCAATTATTACTATTATTATTTAGAAGCATATGCATCAGTTTCCTTTTATTATTGTTATCAATAACTATTCATAGTTTCCAATTAGTAGTCATATTCTCTTTTAGTTATAAATATAGTATTTCCTAGTATGATTATGGTAGGTCTCTCATATGTCTTTGCTTATTTTATATTCAACAACACTATTAATAAATTTAAGGTTGAAGTCAAAACTCTAATTATGAGAAGCTATTTACGGATTACTCTCCCTTCCTTCCAACCATGGGCAAGGATCAATATCTTCTATGCTCCTAACAAAACCATACTCATTGATACATACATTTTCTATGTATGTACATCTATGAGTACATGAGTACATACCCAGGCACACCATTTTGTCATACCCCAAAAGTACCTAGTATAGATTATTTTGTAAACTAATTTAAATGGGAAACTAGTGATGCTATCATTTTTTAACTTGGCAACGAGGTGAGATTCACAAGTTTGGAGCTGATAAGGTAGTTTTATTAAATATAGACTACAGAGCATAAACACTAAAAGCATTTGTTTTGAAATTTACACTGAAGTAAAGAAAGCTTCTTTTCAAACGTGCAAAGAGTTTGAATCTTCTTGTCATGCGGGATGTCAAGATCACTAAAATTTATAGATAGATCGAGATCACTTTTTTCTTGAAACAGATCCATTGAGAAAGATCCAAACTCCACCACAACAGGAACATGACCAGAACAGCCTGAAACGAGGAATTGAGCAGTAGGAAATTTATTTTTTGTATAAGAACTCATTTCTAAGTGAGAAAGCCTATTATATGAATTAATAAATTCTCAAGCAATAAAGCAAAGATTGCACACAATAAAATAGAAATTTACTATTATTATTACCATAAATCTCAAGGGCAATTTCATTAAAAACACGGATCAAATTTCTCCGAGCATCATAATCAATTGGTTGAGGCGAAAGGGCAAGACAAACATCATGAAGCAATTCTTCCAACACAGTAGCCTTTTCTAAAGCCAATTTATACATGCTCACTTTCTTCCTCTGACATTTAGCAGCTTTCTTGCGCAAAGCTAACACGAGAGTGATAGATATTACTAACATATCAATTTAAGCTAAAGCTACTGCATGAAAGTTTCTGTGTGAATACATGGTTCAAACAATATTATATTCTTGTTAAAGGGTTCGATAGAATACACAAGAAACAAAGCTGCAACTGTTTTCAATTGTAATACAACATACTAAAAACAATAAAACCACTAGCTATCATCAAAGTATAATAACTAGATCCATCATCCCAGCTTTAAAAGTACTATTGTTTCTCATTCATATTGGGTTTAGGTCCAATATTTCACTATAAAACCATAGTATTAGTCTTCAAAAAAAACTCTAACTATTGCTTGAAACCATGAGTAGTTTTGTTATTTAAATGGTATAAGAATCCCAGTCAGTCAAATGTTCTTTACAAAAACATCCCTGGTCATTATTTGTCAAAACTAATCACACCAGGCCTCTAATAATCATGACATGAACAAATTTCAAAATTACCACTGTGACGTGACCAAATACCAAAACAATTACTGTCATTTGTTGCCGCATGCACCGCCCTACTTTGACAAAGATCCTGCAGTGTGCCACTGCCGGCTTGGGAGGAAGATCCTGATAATGATGATGGTAGACAAATAAGATATTCCTACCTTTCTACAAGGAGAGCAATAGAGGGAGAAACAAAAAAGTTCAAGAGACATCACATAATGAATCAAGGGGATCAGAATTAACTAGATTTTCTAAAATAGAACACTATATCATGTTTATCAACATGTCAAGCATGATATTAGGAATAAATTTACTAATTATCTTTTACACAACATACATTTTTATATTTGGTTATAAATAAGGGCTCTCATTTGAGAGGAGACATTAGTATTGGGATATTTTAAGCTTTGCTGATGGGCCAAGAAAATCTTGCTGCTTGTTACCAGGGAAGAGTTCTCTCATAAGAACCTTGCTCTATGTTTCATTTCTGCTGCTTTACTCTCTATCAAATGGCCCAACCTGCTATTCTTCACCGCCGCACATATCAATCCAAGCAACAAACAACTAGAGAGAAGAGGTATTCAAGAGAATCAAAAGACGGACTAATTAAGTAGTGGAGAATCACAGAAAAAGTCCAAAGATGTGCTCTAACAAGCACTTTGAGAGTTAGACTTGTCAAAATTCATGGACCCTGGGGGAAAATACCATACGGATCTGGGTATACGAGAAGCCCAACAAATTCCAACTGGTTAGACACCCCGCAAACTACAAAAGAAAAACCTAATGAACAAAGTTCGTGGAGTGAATATTGCAAAATCAAACAGTTTTAAAAATTCACTTTTTGCCACCTAAGCAATTTTCTTCACTTGACAAAGATAGTGACATTAAGCTTGTAAGGAGACAGACTACCAAGATTAGGACATAAAAAGGAATTGCAAAACACATAAAAGGAGGAAGCAGGATTAAGAAAAGTATGCCAAAGATGGCAAGGTACGACAGAGAAAGAGAAAGAACAAGAGAACGAAGAAAGAAATGGGTGGCTGACCCAACCAGTGCAATGAAAAGAGATGGAAAAGGATAAAAACCCAATGGAAAAGAGAAAGGCAGAATTATAAATTGTTCTTTGAAAATCTTCTTCCAATCAAACACACCGAGAGTGGACTGTATTATATTCAATATTCACTATTTTGAATGAAGTGAAATCAACCAATAGTCATTTTTCTGAAAAAAAAAAGAAATAAAAGAAGTGCAGTTTACTGGAAGCCAAGGCAGTTTTCTGGTGGGTGGCAGTGAAACACGTGTATACCCACCTGGCTACCTCTCAAGAAGAAAAGAAATCAAGTAATCAATCAAGAGTTCAAGATAAATTAAAGTATCAGTCAAGGGGACCAGAATAAATCAGATTTCTTTAAGTAGAATGTTGTATCAAGGATTCAACTTTCAAGATTAGCATGATACTAGGATTATTTGATTGTTGTTTATCTTTTACCAAGCTTGCAGCCTTGTATTATGCTATACATAAGGGCCCTCATTTTAGAAGAGTTGTTACTTTTGGGGAATTTTCAGCTTTGTTGATGGGGCAAGAACCTTTTGCTGGAGATTGGAGGGTTCCTTTGAAGCTTTTGGAGAGTTATCTATTGAGCGTCTTGTTCTATCTTTCCTTTCCATTATTACTTCAATGCATTGCACTTTTATTTTCATGAGCCTCTTTTGACCTTGTTCTTTTCGACTTTTAATTCCTTGTATTTAGACTCTAGACTCAAGTCTAAGTGCTTAACAGTGAAGATTCCAGACTTTATAGAAATTTTACAGCATTCGGCTCAAGTGTTAAAGAAAACACAGACAGCACATTCACAACTGGAGCTGATTGATAGTGTTTTGCATAATATAAACGCGTTAGGAAAAAAACATGTAGGAGTGAAATGACCAGAAGTGTAAGATAGTCAAATAAACATTACAAGCACATTAATATGCTTTTAAAAAAGTAGCTACATAAACATATTAAATGTAGAAAACACTAACCTTCCACTGTGTCTATCATGATCAGGGAGTCACAAGATGATAATATCAACTAACTGCACAAACAAAATATAACATCATCTCAAATTTTCAATAGGAATAAAGAAACAGCAGGATAACTAAAGATTATGGGAAATTAATGAGCACATAGTACAGCATGGCAAAGAAAGTGAGCATTTTATGAATACACTTAAGAGTACAAAACAGTTGAAGAACAAGTAGTACATTATACTTAATACAATGTGGACTCTCACAAGTCCTGTTAAAAATTAATGAGTGGGAGAATACACTACACAACTTGATCTCTCATTGATTTATTATAGAATATTTATTTGTAAAATGTCAAGTGAAAACAGAGGGTGGAAACTTCTCAATTACAACTCCGGAAAAATATAGATACATTTTAGATTACATAAAGCCTCTCTTGAAATATAGAGTACAAAATTGCTATATATCAACTAGGGAGACCATCGTCAACGAACATCATCAATGACAGTTGGAGCATATGGATTTGGTCTTCATTCTAATGCATCTCTTTTCTCAAATAAATAATCACAAAGTGTCTTCCACGACCTTAAGTTTATGGAAAATTTACCTAGATAGTACCAAAACATAAATACTATTCCCATATAGGACCACACTTGCACACCATTTTGTTTTCCCAACTACGGAGTAGTATCTAAGTATCTAACTAACTAATTAATTAGTATTAATGTAAATGTGCCATTATGCCCTTTTCAGAATTCTATATTTTACTCCGACCTTTTTCCATCTTCTCAGATGGAGCCAAAGATTCACTATTTTGGCTTTGGGGACTTGGGGTATGGTGGAACAAAGCAATATGGCTCTTTAAATTGCCTGCACTTCTTTCAACAGTGAAGTAGCAGTTAGTCAATGCAGCTTTTAGCGCTCCTCATGGGTCATCGGAAACAGCCGCTCTATGCTTTAAACAGAGGGGTCAGATTGCGTACGTCCAACCCCCCTTACCCCGAAATAGGCGAGAGCCTTTGAAGAACTGGGATAATGTTGTTGTTGTATTCAAACTCTATTCCACAACTCCACACCTATCGGAGTCAACCACTACCACCTATCACGCCAGCAACCGCCCGCTCCTTCCATCTCACCACACCCTCGCTCGATTAATGTCCATCATCACAACATTAATGTTCATTGTGATTTCAATGTCCAGTGTGAATGTGTGATATCAATATCCATCGTATATGTTAATGTCCATTGTGATGCCTCCATTATATCCACCGCCGAGACATTGTTGCAAATTCAAATGTCCATCAACTTTCATCAATATCGAATTCTAAATGCACAATGCCCTCTCTTTTCATTGTTATTGAATCAACAACGACAACCAAGCCTTCTTCATTTTTCTTGAATCAATGAAGACAAATAAAAGGGAGGTGGTGGTTTTTTGGGATGACTTGGGAGGTGGCGGCGCTGCACGGTCAGGGATGGTGGAGAGGCGCATCGAATGAACAATTAGGATAAGAAGAGAGGGAGGCCGCGGTGAGTGTAAGGAGTAGGAGGTCGCGCTGCGGTGGTGGTGGCATAGCAGGGAGAAAGTAGCAGCAGTAGCTCAGCAAAAGGAAGAAAGTGGTAGAGCAGCACACGATAAGAGGAAGAAGTTTTCAAATTGATTGGGGTGCGATGGGTATGAAAGTCTACTAGTCTAAGCATACACACACAAGAAAGAAGCTTGGTAATTGGTTGGCTCATGAAAACCATTGTAGTATTGTACTATAGCTATAAATATATTGCTTCGGTTGTTTCCATGGGAGGCAAGAATAAAATTGGGCAGTTGGACTGCAATGGATGAGGGAGGCGCATGATTGGGGCAGGAAGAAGAACAGATGGTGAGAATTAGAATTAGGGTTAGGGTATATTATAATTAATATATAAGGCCACTTTAGTAAATAACATTTAATTATTAATAATTACTCCGTAAATAATTAAACCTTATTTACTGAATATAAAATATTAGGTCCTATTAAGGGAAAAAAAAGCTATGTTTAATACTATTTGGAACATATTTCACTAAGTTTTTTGGTCCTTTACTGGTTCAAAAGTTAAAGCACCCGAATAATCATTGAAGGATTTGAAATCATCCTAAGGTTCATGTGTAGCTGAATTTAAAGATGTCATCATGTCAATTTTGAGTATGGAGACTACCATGTGAAAGCTGGAGGTCTCATGTTTATATGGACTTCAAAAAAACATATCATCAATTCATAGAGACATTATTCCAAGAGTGTTAGATAAGAATGTGGTGTGTGTACATGCTTTGCCTGTAAAGGTGATAAAGGATATGTGTCAGGGAGCGATATGTAGTGCCATGAGTATGGTCTATACAGATGAGGTGGCAGAATGACTCTCAAATGGCATCCCGGACTAATGACTCCGATTGATCAATATAGTTGACTCCTCCCAGTGGGAAAAGGACTACTTTTGGTTAGGTACTTCATTAATTTTCAAAACCAATATTTTTGTTTATCAACCAGCAAGGCAATTGTAATTATTTACAGTTTACATTGTAAAAAATGTATCAAAATCAATATTACTTCAGTTTTATGGAATATATTAGGACTTTCTGCTTCAAAATCAGTATTCCATAATCCATACAGCAGTGGTGCAGTATGAAATAGTTGAATCTCCAGCATCAAAACCAATATGCCTAAAGGATATAGGATGCAAACATTTATATAATGGTCAAGGGATTGCCACTTAACGTCTAAACCTGCTCCATAGTTTCATTAAACCCCATTTTCAATTTTCATTAACATGTTTCTCAGTTAAAACAATCTGTCCAATCAAAAGGTTAATTTTAAGCATAATTCACATTTAAACACCTAAATGTGTGAAATTAAAACTACAATAAACTATGAATACCCTCAAACTTTGTTCTTTGTCATGGGTATGATTTATAATGTGATCTCATTAAAATCAAACCAATGTGAAAAAACTAAACCATTAAATAAAAGCGCCAGACACTCCCCATACATAAAAGACAGAATCTGATACCCAAGGGCATTTAAACAAAGAAATCCATATTTAAATTTTTAAGAGAACCTAGGCACAAACCAGGTGTATTACTGAATTCTATTCATTACCCAATAGGTCAATGACCATGTAGAAGTAAAAAAATAAAGAACCCTTTTAAACCGTCACAAAATATCAAGAAACTGCAATTTTGTCCCCAATCTTGCCTCCAAGTTTGCCCCGCCATACTCATACTCACAGACTATGTCTTGCCTGTGAAACCATGTTCGTGGGAAGGTGGGGCAAGTTTGGGCATTGTAGCATAGTTAAGTTAGTAATCAAGAAACCAATTGCCTCCACAAGTTCAACAATCAATAACCCAAATATCATGTGAAGGAAAATCAAAAAGAAAACGAAGGATCGTAAATAAAATCAACGTGAAGTCTGCTTTGCAAACAAGCGTAAGGAAAAGTTCAATCAACCAAAAAAATTAAGCGTGGCGACAAGCAAAAGAATTCATGAGATCAAAATCAAAAGTAAATAGTAAATACCAGATTTATTGGATAAATTCTTCGAGGAATAGTTCAAATAGCTGTCTTTTCTTCGGATTGTTGTGTCTGCACGGGCCGTCTCCTTGCCGCCGGGGAATTTCCCTGCGTTTGCTTAGCTTAGTAGAATAGTAGGCCAAAACGACGGAAAGGGCTCCAAGGTTAGACCGGATCCAAGAGATCTTGGTTTCCAAAGATTTTAATTTATGTATTTTAACTCTAAAATTTAAAATCTTGATTTCAAATGACAAGAGGGGATGCATGGATTTCAAAATAAGCTTTGTTATGAATGAAAAAAATTTGATCCAAATCCAAATCCAAATTTTTTAAGTTTCTGAAACAAAGAATTTGGACCAAATCCGAATTTGAAACACAAATACATGTTCTCAAACATACCATAAAAGAATTTGTAAGAATTTTTATAATCCATGGACTGTGCAAAATCAATAGATTTTTAATTCTACGTAGACTTGAAAAGATTATAATGTATTTTTATCAAGATTTGTTTAGATTTTAAATCTCTATAGATTGTTCCAATATCAATAACTAGTAACAAAATATAAAATAAATAAAACACAATAAAAATAAAGTAATTACAATTTGAAAGAAAAGTGTAACAAAAAATAATGTATCGCACACGTTTATATAAGAAATCTGCAGAATTTCACATTCTATTGTCTTGATTGAGAAGTCCAATAATGGAGTGGCAATTACTGTAATTAGGTGAAGATGAACTAACGTTGATATTTTTGTCTCCCTCAAAATCCCTATGTTTATGAAGAGATTTGGGGATGCATTTTTATTTATACTAGAGCCCATAGAATCCTTCACAATCCATCATTAATAGAACTCTTTAAAAATTCATAGAATTTTGAATATCCTTAGATTTAGTGGTATATTTTAAAATCTTAATTGAATACATCAAAATTTTAAAACATTTTTTTAAAATCTCAATTGAATATCCATAGACTTTTAAAATCCAAAAAAAAAAAATCCTAGAGATTCCATATTGAATACACCCTACTAAGTGTGTGTTTCGTGAGCAAAACAATTTAAGAAAAGAAACAAAGTAGGATTAAAACTCATGTCATATTCTTAAAATAAGAGTTGAAACTTAAACTCTCTTAAATAGGAGTAATTAACTTAAAAAACTAAATCTAGCCCACAAGCTCCAAGCCTCCAAGTTTCAACCACCTGCAAATCGAGGAAAAAAAATCACCAATAGCGACTCACCTATAAGTCTCAACCTCTAGCAACTGCTGCCGCCGCCGCGTCCCTACCGCTGCCATGCTCCGCTCCTACCAGACAGTTACGCCACCGCTACCAAAATCTACTGTTGACATAAATTACATACAGAGTAACTAATCATTCATGAAGCCTGCATACATAAGTATAATATGAAATCTCACATACTCATTTGTTTTGTACTCCCTCCGTCCATGTAAGATCTTCCCATTACGCGTTACGAGGCTTGACTGACTTTATTTTCAATTCAATTTAATTCATTATAGGAGTAAAATTTTAAAATAAAATTTATATAGTAATAAACTACATGAAAAGTTCTACAAAACTAGAGGTGACAAGACTTTATTATTTTATGAAATGACTAGTAAAAATGAGCAAACAAAGTGATTAAAGTTTGACCCTGTGAATAGTGTCTAGGAAGATCTATGGTGGACAGAGGGAGTATTATACAATGGTGAAGAAATCATCAATTCAATAGGTAGTGTTGCTGATACCATTGTTAGACCATGGAATTGTGGTGAATCATGTTGCACTAGTTGTTGCGTGCTGTCGACCTGGAGCCGCCGCCGCCACATGAAAATCGAGTAGTCATCTCAAGCCATCCACAACACCGTCACACTTTGCACTGTCGGCATCGATCGCAGTGCTACATTAATTGTTTATACAGTGACAAAAAAGGTACAACGTCAAACATGGCAACACATAATGTCACATATCACAGTGCACAATACCACAAATGCTCATATATAATGTCACATATGCAAATTCACAATGTCAAACAAAGGGGTAATGTCAAGCCCGAACATTGCCCAGCACTACTGTCGACGACCATCACTCATATCACAATCACCTTTGTGGCGGTCGGATGACCAAGCATCCCGAGACCTAGCCGTCGACTTTAAGCTTTGCATAGTGAAATTTGTCTCCAATGGAGACATTAAGCTCGAGGCCAAGGCTTCTGACCGACGAAACCATGGATTCCGCCAAGAACTTGGTTTATGGTGGATCAGATTTTAGATCTGGGCAGATGGGGTGTGTGGACGTAGAACTTTGCGAGGGCATGAGAAAGAGTGGGGGATGGCGGTGCGGTTCTGTGATGGAGGGAGCAACATCGACGAAGCAATATAATTGCATATGGATAAAAGAAAAGGCGAAGGCTATGAGGCTTTACACTGTGCAGATAGATTTAATTGAAACAAAAAATGTGATTAATTACTATCTAGAAGAGTTTAAGTTTGAGCTTCTACTTTGAGGATATGACTTATGTTTTACTCCTATTTAGGAGATTTTCTTAAAAAATATGAGTTTTGATATCGCTGTATCAAAACCCTTTTGTGATGAGAATGTGTGATATTCATTACCCTTTTTCGATATCTCAAGATATCGAGTTTTATATCTCCAAACATTATAAATCTTCTAAATAGAGTGTTTTTATATCTCCCGAGTTTAGGAGATATCAATATGTGAGTTTGATATTTCTCTCAACCGTTGACCATTCTCCGCCACTGACTACCATTGTCACCGCTAAGTACTCTCGTTGTGAGTCCGTTTATCACTAATTAAATAATGATTATAAATATCTCTAAACAACTTCATTTTAGATTTCAAAACACATACTCCCCCCGTTCTTGAAAATACGTTTGCCCTAATTTTTTGCACACCCCATATAATACTTTTACTCTACCTAAAATGTCTAAAATACTTCCAAAACAACTTCTACCCGCAACAAACTAGGTAATGGGATGTATTTTTTAGATTTTAGGTGGAAGTAAAAATATTTTATGAGGTACACAAAATATTAGGGCGGAAGTATTTTCATGAACGAAAGGAGTATCATTTCTTCTAGATTTCAAAACTCAAATCTTATCATACCCTCAAAATTCATCAAAAAGACCCTAAAGGTTTTTCATACTCCGCATTTAGTTATGTATTACTTCCTTCGCCCAACAAAGAGTTACACTTTTATTATTTGAAGTTCTTGATAACTTTTGTTTATTTATCGGGTTTCATTGTTTTTTTAAAAAGAACGTGTTTTCATTGTTTATTTGATAAAATAAAATATTCTTATCACATCTTATTTTATAAAACTTTTAATATAATTTTTAAATATGTAATTTGTACTCTCTATGTCCCAAACTAAATAGTCTGTTTACTATTTACATGGTCAAACTCCATTCACTTTCTTTTTCTATTTTCAGGGTCAAAATCCTACCAAAGGGGTAGGATTTTTGCCGGGGGTTAGGAATAAGAATCGTCAGTTTTAGAAACGAAGAACTTGGGTGCTTCGAAACCCCAGTATCACCGTAGTATCAGTCGGGGCAAATGCCAACGGAACCCCTTTGCATTACTTATATCAACGTATAATTTACAATATCGGGATGAAATAAATACCCTGTAGAGATACTGAATAATTCCAAAGATATTCACCTTGCTAGAACAGAAATATAAATTTATCCCCGAAATAGGATATCTATGTTTGTCCCTAAAATAAAATTATTGTACCGTGACCGTGATAATGTATGCAATTTTTAGTATTTTGGTACTATTTATCGGCTTTATAGGTCGGATTTTGAGATAAAAACATGAAACTTTCATTTTGTTTTTCTTGTTATGTTTTAGTTCTGTTTTGATCTTTTTCCCAAAATTCCAAAATAGATTTGACAAGTATCATTCGAAAAAATAAATCTTACGGTGAACCAAAATAAGGAGTAATAAAAAACAAAATTTATACCTATTTTACTCGTTTTTCCGACAAGTTGTACAATTATGATCTTATTCTACATGTAAAATATAGACCTTTTCACATATTTTCCATGAGCTCATAATTAGATCTTTTAATTTTTACAAAGCTCAATATACATAATAATTTTATTATTAAGATTCATATAACAAACATAGATCTAAGAACCACAAAAGAATTTGTTTTGTTTGAAAAAAGATGTATTGGGTACTTTTTTTTTATAAACACCAGGTGAGTCCTTCCACCATGCACCCTTAGTGCACATAAACCTTCTCTTATAAAAAATTAATAAAATCATAAAGTATTAAACCCTAAACCCTCCCTCTCCCACCTCCACCCCAAATCGCCAAGTGGCTACAACAACATTGTAGCCAATCGGTGATTTGGGATGAGAGCAGATGAGTTTAGGAGGGTTAGGGGCTAGGAACCATCAATTTTTTGAACGGAACATCGTAGTCATTGTTGTCATAATATGACAATAATGGTTGTTGTCAAAAGAAGCCCACCAATTTTAATATTATGTAAGTACTTGTGAATCACAAAAGAAGGTTCATAAATGCTTATTTGCACTTTAGGTGTAGGTAAGAGATTGCCACAACCCAGATATCCAAAAAAAGTGGAACCACCACCCCAGGGGTCTCTCGCACCCCTTGTATGAGGTTGGTGGAGGAAGAAAGTCGCGAGATATATCTCAACTGGTTAGGGACCCCATGATTTTTGTCACAGCTAATCCCGCCATAAAAGGAGCCGAATCTAAAGAGTTACCTCTAGGATTCGAACCCCCACCACGTAAGTTGCCAACAAGGCTCACCCAATGCCTTTGCCTTTTGAGTTGTGCCCGGGGTGCAACCCAGGTATCCAAGGATTTATAAATGGTTCCTTACAAGTTAACAATTAACTTTCACTTCTTCAGTAAAGAAAAAAGACTCCGAAGGAGTAAATTTTGTGTCAGTGGTAGTTCTTAGTTCATCCACTAATGATGCATATCCTCTTTTATTATTCAAAGGAGCATGAGACAGACATTCTTTTCCTGAATATGGAAGAAGCAATGCCACATGTAGCTTTTTTGGTTGGTACTTTGCTATGCCTGGTTTATCTGTCATCTTGCAGATTTCT